GAGAAGTATATGTATACAGCAGCTAGGGCGTTTGTCTTGCACGCAGCCAACATGGCCGACCCGGGTTCGATGCCCAGCATCCCATGTGGTCCCCTGAGTACCGCCAGGAGTAATTCCTGAGTTCATGAGCCAGGAATAACCCGAGCATCACCGGATGTGACCCAAAAAGCAAAAAAAAAAAAAAAAAAGTATGTAAGATTTCCTACTCTTTTAGTTTAGACTCAACTTTTGATCGTTTGGGGGCCACACCCAGTGGGGCCCAGGCCTTGCTCCTGGCTCTGTGCTCAGGGATCACTTCTGGCAGTGCTCAGGGGATCATATGGGGTGCCGGGGATTGAACCTGGGTTGGTTGCATGAAAGGCAAGTTCTCTACTTGCTGTACTATTGCTCTAGCCCCTAGAATGAAGTTTTGGACCAAACTTCAGAAGGGTTACGTTAAGATTCTAAATCATGGCACACAATCAAACCCACACTCATGCAGCCCGTCATCTTTCATACAGAGTAAATTCCTGCCTCTGGGCCTTTGCATTTGTTATTCCGCTGCCATAGAGGACATTCCCTGTCAGGGCTCATTCTTCACTTTTAAAGTGCCTCCTTAAATATCACCTCCTCAGTGCAGCCTTCACTGAGTAATCCCTCTAAAAATAGAACATTGACACTATCCCTTTAGCCTGCTTTTTCTTTCCTTTTTTTTTTGGGGGGGGGGGGGGTCATACCCAGCAATGCTCAGGAGTTACTCCTGGAACTGCACTCCTGGCAGTGCTCAGGGTATCTTATGGGATGCTGGGGATAGAACCCAGGTCGTCCGTGCACAAAGCAAGTGCCTTACTTCCCCTACGATCTCTCTGGTCCCGTAGCCTGCTTTTTCTTTACGGCTCTTACTGCTTGCTTGCTGCCTGACCTTATATGCTTGCCTTACCCACTGGAATGTAAGTTCCACAAAGGCAGGCCCTCAATCATGATTATTCATTGTTCTATCACCAGATTCTGGCACATAATAATTGCTCGACAAGTTTGTTGAATTAATTGGTCGGACGGCAATTTGACTTTAAATATTTGCTTCTTTTTCGCCTTCCTAACCAGACAGCAAATTCATGAAAGGCAGCCAAAGGCCCTAGTTGCTTATTTATCTTCTCTGAAGCAATTAGCTCATTCTTCACGGATGAGAAGACATTCCACCAAGATTTACTGAATGAATGCCTTGAGACATGAATGCTTTACAGGACTAACCAGTCAGCATTTCCTGCAGGTAAACAAGAGTGGTAATGTCTTGCATCTCAGCCCACGCTTCCCAAGGCTCTCCTATATACGGTCCTCACTCATTTGATCATTCTCTCCAAAGCTTCTTCAAGTTTGCCTGGAGAAATGAGCATTCAGATCAAACAAGTGATGATTTCAGACATGTACTAATTTGGAGCAATTTTTCTGATCTTAAGGTTTTTCTGTTGTTGTTGCTTCACCCAGGCGGTGCTGGGGTGTTGGGTGTGGGGATTGGTTACTCCAGTTCAGGGGACCAAGTCTTGCAGGTTGCAGGATCTAGGAGGCGCTCCTGCAAACAGAGCAGCTTCCGGCCCCCGCCTGGAAGGACCTGCCTTCCCAGCCCAGGATCAGAGACATTCAATGTGGTTTTGGACATATGAAATACAATGCCTTAATTTTAATTTTGGGTTTCTGGACTACCCCTGGTGATAATCAGGGGCTGTTTCTGCTCTATGTTTGAGAATTGCTCCTAGTGGTGCTTCGGTATATGTATATAATGCCAGGGATTGAACTGGGGTTGGCTACCTGCAATACAAGCACCTTCACCCTTTACTATCTCTCTGGCATAACAAAATTATTCAAAAATATGGAATAAAATGAAAAATAATAGAATAAAATTTAAAAGTCCACATAGGGGCCAGAGCGATAGTATAGAGGGTAAGGAAGCTTGCCCCGCATGCGGCAGACCTGGGTTCTGTCCCCAGCATTTCAAATGGTTCCCTGGGAAAACACCAGGAATGATCCCTGAGCACAGAGCCAGGAGTAAGCCCTGAGTGCTGCCAGTGCGGTCAAAAAAAAAAAAAAAGACTGAAATGAAGTTTAAAGTCTTCCCCACTCCATCCCGTACTAGGGATGGAATTCATGTGGATAATGAATCCTGTACTTTGTGGATGATAACATCCCAGAGCCAAAAATGTCTATCTTGATACACACCTGTACACAGAGATTTTGGAAGAATATATTAACAGTCTCTAAGTTGGTTGTTTTATTGTTTTGTTTTGAGCCCATACCAGTGGTGCTTGGGTGTATACTCTGTGCTCTGTGCTCAGGGATCACTCCTGGAGGGTTCGGGGGACCATATGGGGTGCTGGGGATCAAACCTGGGTCAGTCACCTGCAAGGCAAACCTATTGTACGATTGCTCCAACTCTATTTTATTGTCTTTTTTTTTTTTTTTTTGCCTTACCCGGTGGTGCTTGGTGCTCAGGGATCACTCCTGATGGAGCTCTGAACCATATGTCGTGCTGGGAATTAAACCCTGGCTGGGCATTTTACCTCCTATGCTATTGCTCCAGCATAGACTCTTGATAGTGTTTACATTTTTTTCTTTTTTTTTTTCCTGGTTTGTTTTTTGGGCTACACTCCAGGCTCTGGGTTCTATTTAAGAGAATAAAATAGAGCCTCAGCAATAGTACAAGTTTGCCTTGCAAGCGGCTGACCCAGATGGCTGACTCCTGGCTGGTAGGGCTTGAGGTACCATATGGGGTGTGCCCTACCAACTGTATTATAGCTCTAGCCCCCACATTTTTCTTGATTTTTTTTTTTGGAGCCTTACCTATTAGTATTCAGAGCTTCTTTCTGGCTCTGCACTCAGGGATCACTCCTGGCCAGGCTTGCAGGACTGTATAGAGGTCTGGGGATCAAACCTAGGTCAGCTACATACAAGGCAAGCACCTTACTTGCTATACTATATCTCTGTCCCCTCAATATTTTATCTTATTTGAAAAGTATTATCGTTTAGGCTGTTAAACTAGTGTTAAAGTTTATGGTGTTGATTTACAAAAATTTACAGAATTTACAAAATGACTGCACCGTACCACAAGTGCCCATGAAGCTCCACCAGTCACTTCCAGGGATACTTTCTCTCCCCACACCACATGTTATTTGAGCCCCCTCTCAGCAGTGCAGGGGGTCCTTCCCAGCCCAGGACTCGTCCCGTGCCTTTAAAGCATGAGCTCAGCCCCTTAAGAACGTCTCTGGCCCCAAGGAAAAAAAATTAATACTGATCTGTTGTAAAGGAAAGAAATAAAATAATCTGAGTCTGTCTTCCATATTCAAGACCTTTTCCCCTCAGCAAGAACAATTGCTACTTGATAACTAATAGTGTTATAATTTGCCCCTCCCCCCATCCTTTCCAGGATATTGAACTCCCAAATGGGGGTCAAAAGTCGAAGACCGGGGACTCCCACCAATTTGAGCGGTGGGCACACAGGAAATGTGCATTCTTCACTTTCCTCTTGATGGTTTAAAACAGTTAACAACTTGTCTTTTTAAAAAAAAATGTTTAAACCAGATCTCTAAGAGTTGCCAATAACCATCTTGCAGAAAATCTCTACCGATCCCCCAAATATGGTCCTTCGTATCGGCTAAAAAAAGGTTCTAGGGTCCATCAAGTTAGTAATTCTGAACCCAAAGGGCTTGCCTAGGTGGCTGGTGCACCTTAGGGTAAAAGAGAGTTTTTTTTTTCTTTTTTGATTTTGGGCCACACCCGGCTCAGAGCTCCGGGGATCACGCTCCCCGGCAGCCAAGGGCAGCCCAGACCCTGCTTGCACCAGCCTCGGGCATGCGAGGAAAGAGGAAAGGCAGTCAGTCAGTCGGGTTGGTTCCTCGCTCCAGCCCACCAAGGGTTCCTGAAACGCCGAGCAGCTTGTGCGTGCGCCTTTCTCGGCGTCTGGCCAACCCATGCACGTTTGGGTGCGACTGTCTGTGCCAAGCGTGTTCCGAGTTGTGTGACGGGGCTTCCGAGCCCCAGACGCTTCCACGCTCAAGAAAGATGCGTGCCCGGCAGGGGTTCTCCAGGGTCGGGGTGGGGTCGGGGGACCAGGCCGGGGTAGGGTGGGGGGTGGGGGATCCTCCAGCGGAGCCCGTGGCGCTCCACGCGGGGCGCAGCGTCGCGGGGCGCCGGACAGAATGCGTGCAGGCGGGACCCCGCGCCCGGGCTCCGGGTGGGCGGGGTGCTGGAGCGGAGGTCTCCGAAGGGTCCGGGGACTAAAAATCCGGGCGGCGCGGGGCGGGGGGGAGGGGAGGGAGCGAGCGAGGGGCGGGGCGGCCCCTCCCACAGTCCCTTCCCCCGCGGAGCCTCACGCCGACGCACGTCCGGCCGCGGACCCTGCCTCCGTCCGCAGGGGAAACCGAGGCCGGGAGCGTGCGCGCGCGCGTCCCCGGCGCCGGGGACGTCCAGGTACGTGCGGGCTACCTGGCCGGCCGGCGCGGGGACGGTTGGGAAGGGCGGTTTGCGGAGCCCCCTCCCGCTCGCCGGCCCGCCCGCGCCCCGGCCTCTGTGACGCACGGCGCGGCCTCCAGGCCTGGGCGGCGCGGCGCGGCGCGGCGCGGCGGGTGGGCGGGGCGAGCCCGGGGTGGGCGGGGCGAGCCCGAGGTGGGCGGGGCGGGAGGGGGCGGAGCCGCGGCAGGCCCCGCCCCGGCCGTGGACCGAGCCGCTACGGAGCAGGCGCGTCCTGCCGCCGCCGCCGCCGCCGCCGCCGCCGCAGCAGCAGCCGCCACCGCCGCCGCTCGCCCTTCTCCGGAGCCGCTGCCGCCGCCGCCGCCGCCATTTGCACGGGGACCCTGGTGACAGGGGCTCGGCGGAGGGGCGGAGGGAGGGGGGGAGGGCCCGCGGAACCCCCGAGGGCGGGAGCGACGTCGCCGGCGCCAGCCGGGCTCCCAGCGCGACCGCGCAGCCCGCGGCGGGCCCGGATCGCCGGCAGCAGCGGCGGGAGCAGCCTGGGAGCGGCGGCAGCGGCAGCAGCAGCAGCAGCAGCGGCCGGAGCAGCAGCAGCAGCAGCAGCGGCAGCAGCAGCGGCCGGAGCAGCAGCAGCAGCGGCGGCGGCAGCAGCCCCGGCAGCAGCAGCAGCAGCGGCAGCAGCAGCAGCAGCAGCAGCAGCAGCAGCCGCCGAGGCCGGGCGTGCGCCTGAGGCGCGGCGGCGGCGGCGGCGGCGGCCCTGCGGGCGGCCGGGAGGGGCGGGGGCAGCGGCCGCCGCCGTTTGATGGATCCGAGGATCGCCTGGTTCCAGCCAGAGCAGCTCGGACCGTCCAACAGTCTGTGGATGCAGATCTGGGAGACGACCCAGGGGCTGAGGAACCTCTACTTCAACCACCACTGTCACAGCAGCGGCGGCGGCGCGAGCGGCGGCGGCGGCGGCGGCGGGGGCAGCGGGGGCAGCAGCGGCGGTAGCGGGGGCAGCAGCAGCAGCAGCGGCAGCGGCGGCGGCAGCGGGGGCAGCAGCAGCAGTAGCAGCGGCGGCAGCAGCAGCGGCAGCGGCACGGCCACCGGCGGCAGCGGGAGCAGCACCGGCAGCGCCGCGCCCGCCCCGGCCTCGGCTCCGGCCCCGGCCCCGGTCCCGGCCCCGGCCCCGGCCCCGGCCCCGGCCCCGGCCCCGGGCCCGGCCGGCATGTACCGCTCCGGGGAGCGCCTGCTGGGCGGCCACGCGCAGCCGGCGGAGCAGCGGGACTTCCTGCCCCTGGAGACGACCAACAACAACAACAACCACCACCACCAGCCCGCGGCCTGGGCCCGCCGGGCGCCCGCGGGCCCCGCGCCCGCCTCCCCGTCCCCGTCCCCCTCGGCGGCCGCGTCCCCGCACCCGGCGGCCGCCGCGCCCGCCGCGGAGCCCGCGGACCCGGCCTCGGGCAGCAGCAACAAGAGGAAGCGCGACAACAAGGCCAGCACCTACGGACTCAACTACAGCCTGCTGCAGCCCGGCGCGGGGCGGGCCGCGGGGGGCGGCCGGGCCGACGGCGGCGGGGGCGTGTACAGCGGGACCCCGTGGAAGCGGAGGAATTACAACCAGGGAGTCGTGGGGTGAGTGAGTGGGGGCCACCTCTCCCCGCCCCGCCTTTGCACACGCGCAGGGGGGACTGCAGGGGGAGCCCGGGCGAGGCCACCCCCTCAACACCCTCCCCCAGCCACCTGCCTCTCCTTTGCGCCCTCCCGGGAGCTCTCCCGAGGGTCCCCTCGTGGTGTGCCCCATCTTCTCCGAACACGCCGCATCCTCCCCTCCGCACCCTTAGTCATTCGCACCCTCCCAAGCGACCGTTTAGTGTCTCCCGACCCCTTTTCTGTCTTCTCCCCCCACCCACCCCCGGCACCCAACGCTTGAGCCCTGCCTTCCCACCTCCAGCCCGCCCTTCCTTTCTCCCCATCATCACACCCCAAGACATCATTCATTCCCGGAGAGCATTCCCTTGTTAGTGCCTTTCTGATGCTACAGGACCTGGAGGTGCTTTCCTTGCCAAGAATAGAAACATCCAGAAAGCTCCTCCCCCCCCTTCCCTCAATCGGGAACAGGAATCTTGTCAGCCCTGAAAGGCCTTGCCTGCCGTTGACCCTTTGGCCCATCTTTTTAAATTTTTCACGTTAAAAAAAAATACATATACATAGTATTTTTCCCTCCCCCCCATCAGCCAGTGCCTTGTCTGCCTGGAAGCAGACCGAGGCGGGAGGCTCAGTTAGACTGGGGGAGATTGGTGAGCTCTTCTTCCAAGGACCCTGATGGAACTTTCTAGGAGTTCACCGTCCTTGGCGGCAGCTTCTCACTGTACAGTTGTCACCCTGGCAGGGGCAGCCAGTGCTTTTCATTCTAGGGGGTAACTTTATGCTAATGAGTGAATGTTGCACCACCAGTGACTTTCAGTTTAAAGTTCAGCTGTTACAAAATGGAATCTTACCTGACCCCTAGTGAATTATGTACATAAATAGGGAATGTTTCCAGTTAGGTTTCCCTTCTGGAGTAGGTTACTGAGTCTGTCCTTTTGTAAAATAAGGCTTTAGAGGAGGGTGTGTGTGTGTGTTTGTGTGTGTGTGTATAATGTGAATATGGAAAATAAGGTGTGTGTGTGTGTGTGTGTACAACGTGGATATGGAGAATGAGCTTTCCTGTTACTTTTGATTTCAAAGATCCTGCTTTACATGGGTTGGGGGACGCTTTAGTGAGCCATTGAAACCAATTTATTAGTGATTGCTTGTGAAACCTTTTTTCAGATTTACCCATTCAGAGCTGCCCTGCTTTAGCAAGCAGATGCAATGGTGTGTACCTTTGGCAGGTCTGGGTAAAATGAGTTGGTGGGTTCCAACTCCAGCGAGTGGGTTGGGGTTTATTATACTCTATAGCTGAAATCCCCAACTCCTCTGTAAAATGCAGGAATGTGTTTCAGGACTGACACTGGGGTACATACCAAGCCTGCCCTCACTTTTTAGAGGGGAACCTTTTGGGGTTCAAACCTCTTGTTGTTAACTTCAAGGGCGCTCTCCATGGTCATCACGTAATTATAAAAGACTCCTGTTCCACCCTGTTAGCGTTTCCCATACCAAGCTTTAACCTTTAGTTTGGTGACAGGCAAATCGATTCTGAGTTCTGGTAGTTTCGTGTCCCAGGAATACGCTCAGTGTCGTCATGTGATTTAAAACCTGGTAGGCGCTTGGTTTCATTTTACTGAAGCTTGTTTGCCATACTTACCTAGCAAACATCCGTCTTAAATTCAGATTGCTGCCTGCTTCTCCCCTTTGGTGGTCAGAAGTTGTCTGCTCCTGTATCTGAGATTTAATGTGGAGGATCATGTCAAAGGTGTACATTGAAACGTAGATCAAAGCAAGATGTTCTGGTTCCTGATTCAAATATTATATTGCCCTCCAAGGGATTAGGAGAGGAAATTCCATTTCCCAGAGGGATTACTGTTTAAAAAACGGACTGTAAACCTGTTTGAAAACTGCCTATCACTTCATCAGACTTTACATTTTGGGGGTCTTCTTTATGTTAGCAAACAAAAATCTTATTAAACTCCCAAGAGTGTTTTTATTATTGATGGATTCTGTTTTGGGGTCACACCTGACAGTGCTTGGGAGGCTGCCCCCGCCTCAATTACTCCTGGCGGTGTTGGGGGGCCGGTGCAGTGCTGAGACTGGACCTGGTACAGAGCATTGGCTCAGTCTGTTGGGCTGTTTCTCTGACCCCAAGCATGATTTTATAAGTAGTTTAGATGTTTCATAAATGACTTTGGCCAGAGCGATGGTACAGTGGGGAGGGCGTTTGTCTTGCACACACCTGGCGCCTGACTCTGGTTCAATCCCCGGCACCTCCTGATTCCCCCAAGCACCGCCGGGAGTAATTCCTGAGTGCAGAACCAGGAGTAACCCCTGAGTGTTGCTGGGTGTGACCCAAAAAGAAAAAAAAATCTTTGATTTTGATTTATGGATCCTTATTGCTTCATATTTATGTGAGTTTGGCTGTTTTTCATACCAGTATTTAAAAATAAGAATTTAGAGGACACCTTCATGCCATGGTTACTCTGAACTCACAGTAAAACTGGCACTCACATGTTCTGAGTTCTTCGGGTGGTGTCTCTGACCTCTGACCTGGCCCTTGATAGAGAGGTTTCCAAAGCCACATGTACATGGACTTGAGCGGTGGACAGAGATGGACATACATTTTCTCTGTATTCCCAGTGTCAGCCAAACAGTGTGATTTACTCCCTAAACTCGAAAATACAGTTAAAAATCCTGGCTTCTGTTGTTCAGGTCCTTGATTGTTTTGTTTTGTTTTGTTGTTCCTCCTCTGAACTTTGAAGTGTGTGCTTCATGCTCTGATAAGTATCTCACTTAAGTTTAACTTTTTTCTTATGTATATGTTTTACCTATTAGGTTACTTGTTAGTTAGTTTAAAATGGGAATTTTTAAGATACAGAATAAGGTATTTGCGTTTTACCCTGAAGTCTTCGTAGTCCTCTTTTAAACTTGTCTGGGCCTAGCTCAGTCTCCTTTCCCATATGCCCACAGGCCTAGGTCATTTATTTCCTTTCCTTATTTTAAAACAATTTTTTTTCTTGAAATGTACCTTCAACACAGAAAGTCCTCCAGTTGCACAAGGCTACTGTGCTCCCCCTGAATCATTCCAGTGCCCCCAACCCGGGGGATAGTATCACCTACCCTGGGAGACCCTGAGTCCAGTCATAATAGTGAGGGGACAGAGGAGGACAGGAGCCTGATTTCCAGGTGCCAGTGAACTCTCCCCCAGTGTGGCTGGTGACCACTCCCTCGGAGGCCTGAGGTCTGCCCGAAGTCAGCGGCACTTATAGTTTCTGTGCACTTGGCAGATCTAATTCCCCACAGGCACCCACACACACCGCTCCCCGGCCCTACTTCTCACCATCACCCGCCACTGGATTTCTGCCCCTTCTGCCCATCTTTCTTTTTTTCTTTTTTTCTTTTTGGGCCATACCCAGGCGACTCAGGACATCTCCTTGCTCTCCTGGGGGGAACCATATGGGGTGTCGGGGATTGAACCCTGGCTAGCCGCGTGCAAAGGCAAAGCGGTGTGCTATCACCCCGGCCCCCTTCCCATCTTTTTGCTTTATCACTTCCGTGACTTCATTTGGTCTCCGCTTTTCTGTTCCTTAATGTGTGTGTTTTTTTTTTTTAAAGTCACTTCCTTGGGATTCCTTCCCCTCCAAGACTGGCTGTGGTGTGGGATGCCGTCCACCTGCTCCTTCTGGTGGTTCATGAAAATGAGCCATCAGCCCTTTTCTTTTCAGAGGTTTAATTGGCGATCACCCGCAGAGAAAGGAGAAATGACAAAAAAAGTGCAGGAAACCTAGGGGAGATTCAGAGTTCTTGGTCCTGAGCCCTTGTGTCCAGAAACTTCTTTAGAAGGTGCTTGGGGTTTGTCCAAGCTCGGGAGGATTACTGGGTGATTAACGGCGCTGTCAAGCTATGTACATATTTTTTTCAAGACCTGAGTGACTGGTTCAGAATTACATTCTGAACAAGAAACTTGTCTGTAGGACATTAAGAAAACCCTGTCGGTAAACTTAGGTTTCAGGAATAATTTTTCGGGGGCCAGGACATGCTTTGGAGCCGTGCGGTTCTGTGTCTGATCCCTGCCCTGTGCCCCTCTCCTCCATCTCCACCCCTCTACCCCCTTCTCCCTCCTCCCCTACTCTGATTCTGGAACCAGGATAAAATCAGGGTGATGGAAATGTGAATGAGGATGGGGGTGGGGTGGGGGGGGGATAAAAAGAATGAATGTGTGAGCTACTCCAGGAAAGGATGGAAAGAATTCTGACCCCTTGGGTGGATTTAAAAATCACACCACCTCTTGAAACTTGATTTAAGGGGGGAATGTTGATGTTATTACTGAAAATAAGAGATCTGCAGGTGTGGAGCATAAGATATTTATGGAACCTCCTAGCAGGGATGAACGTTTTTGTTTTTGTGTTTAGGGCCACACCCAGCAGTACTTCAGGCTTACTCCTGGCTCCGTGCTCAGAGGTCATTCCTGGTGGGTCTTGAGAAGACGGATGTGGGTCAGCTGTACCTGCTGTGCCATCTCTCCACCTCCAGGCATTAAAATTCAGGAGCTGAGATGTGCACGTCTTCCTTCCGTCCATCCTGTGCTGTGGCACAGTCAGCCCAAGCTGCCGGCTCTTCTTCGATGCAGGCAGTCAGTCTGGCTTATTTCTGCTTGTGTAGGATCCTTGTTAATGCTGGGCCTCCGAAGCCGTCAGCCAGTTGGACTTGGGTTGAGGAGAAACAGTTTAGATGCCCTGTTCCAAGTGCTTGCCCTTGGTTTTATTTCTGTGCATTTGTAAATGGAGCCCACAGTTAATTCTTTAGTGAGTTATGGGACCTTCGGGCTGCTTTGTTTTTCTTCCTTTGGGTACTGGAAAATGGTAGATTTTTCTACTGTGAAGATTGTGTGCGGTGTAACTCATATTTGAGAATTCGCAGATCTAGTATACTTTTCTTTCCCCCCCCCCAATGCTGCCATTTGGGCTGGAGCGATAGCACAGCGGGTCGGGCGTTTGCCT